TACCAAAAAAAGAAAACAGAGGCGAAGTCCCGAAGGCCCAAAGAACGGGAAAGAGCGCGGGACCCAAAGAACGGGAAAGAGCGCGGGATGGAATCAAAATTCGATTGTTTTAATAAACATAAAAATATTTATATTTATATAATCGATTATAAAAACTAAAAATATCGTCCGAAAATTCTGGCCAATGATTTATAATACAATTATAATCCCGATAATAAATTTATATTCTGACCAATTATTTATAACACAATTATAATCCCGATTATAAATTTATAACGTAAAACTAAAATTATATAAAAAATACCCGAAATCAAAAAAAAAGAAAACAGAAGTAAACGCCCGAAAATCCAAATAATAAGAAAATTACACGATAAAATCAAAATTTCATAAAACCAATATATAAATATAAAAATATATATAAAAAGAATATATATAAAATTCAGAAATATCGAAATATTCTTATAACCATAAAAAAAGAAATTTTGTCCGAAATTTATATTAATTTATTTATAAATTAATAATAATTTATAAATTAATTTATTTATAAATTAATAATAATTAATAAATTAATAATAATTTGTAATAATAATTTATATTTATAATATATAATTTGTAATATAATTTATAATTTAATAATAATCCCAAATATAAAATTATAATTTAAAATCAAAATGCAATTTTTTTCGACCAATATATCAAATAAATTATAAATAATAATTTATAAATAATAAGTAGAATTAATCTAGGAAAAAAAAAATATTTAAAAACATTCGAAAATTATACAAATTATAAATAATATAAATTATAGTGCAAAAAAATATAGCAAAGATTAATATATTAATTATTAATAATAAATAAAATATTATTAATAATAAAAAATATTAATAATAAATAAAATATTATTAATAATAAATAAAATAATATTTTATAAATAAATTATATTCTAAAAAATAAATATATATTATTATTAATATAAATATAAAAAAAGAAATTATATAAATTAAAATAAAATAATAATATAATATAATTATAATTATTATAATTATATAATTATAATAATAATATATAATTATATAATTATTATAATAAAATATAATTATATATAATTATATATAATTATATATAATTATATATAATTATATATAATTATATATATAATAATAATAATATAATTATATATATAATAATAATATAATTATATATATAATAATATTTTATAAATAAATTATATTCTAAAAAATAAATATATATTATTATTAATATAAAAATAAAAAACAAATTATATAAATTAAAATAAAATAATAATATAATATACTAATATATAATTATAATATAATAATATAATTATAATAATATATATAATAATATAATTATAATAATATATAATTATAATTAAATAATTATAATTATAATTATAATTATATATAATTATATATAATTATATATATAATAATAATAATATAATTATATATAATTATATATAATTATATATATAATAATAATAATATAATTATATATATAATAATATAATTATTTATATAATAATATATATAATAATAATTTAAAATAATTTAATTATATATATATAATAATAATTTAATTATATATATATAATAATATATAATATATATATAATAATAAATATAAATAAATAAATATATAATAATAATAAAAATAAATAAATATAATAAAAAGAAAATATATATCCGAAAATCCAATTTTTTCCAAAAAAATGAAATTTTTAGAATGAATTTTTCCAAAAAATTGGAATTTTTATTATAATTTTATATTTTTATAATTTTATAATTTTATAATTTTATAATTATATAATAATTTTATAATTATATAATAATAATAAAATAATAATATAATAATATATTCTTCAATAAATATTCGATATTATATTCAATAAAATTATTATTAAATATAAATTTATTATTAAAAATTATTATTATATTATTATTATATATATTTTATATATTTTATATTTTATATATTTGAAATATTATAATAATATTATAATAATATATATATTTTATATATTTTATATTTTATATATTTTATATTATAATAACGAAATTATTATTTTATAATATGCAAACTATTATTATATAAATAAACTTATTATTATATAAAAATAAAATTATTATATAATATAATAAAATAATTATATAATTATATAATAAAATTATATAATATAAAAATAAAAATATATAATATAAAATAAAATATAAAATATTAATAATATTTTATTTATTAACAATTTTCAATTTTATATAATAATATTAATAATAATATAAATATAAAAATAAAATAATATAAATATAATAATATATATATATAATATGTTAAATATAATAATAAATAAAAAATAAAAACATATAATAAAAATAATAAAAAAATAATAAAAACATATAATAATAATAATAAATAAATAATAATAATATAAATATATAAGAATAAAATAAAATAAATAATAAAATAATATAAATATAATAATATATATATATATTATTCAACATTTTAAATATAATTAGAAATAAATAATAAAAACATATAATAATAATAATAAATAAATAATAAATATATTTAATAATATATATATATATTATAATAAATAAATAATAAATACATATAATAATATATATACATAACTAAGATTTTTAAACATCATAAATAATAAATAAACATAATAATAATACAAGAATAATAATAACAATAATAATAAGAATAATATATAATAAATAAATATAATAATAAAAATAATAATGAAAATAATAATAATAAAACAATAATAATAATATATACATATCATTTAATTTTTTATAAATATAAGAAATTTTAAAAAATAATAAATAAAATAATTCATACATAAAAATAATAAAAAAATAAATAAATAATACATATATAACATATAATATTAATATTCCAAAAAATACTTATAAAAAATTGTATATAAAAATATTTTTGAAAATATCGAAAAAAACATCGAAAATAATAATATTATATTTAAAAATAAAATATTTTCATATATATATATAAATATATCATATAATATTTAAAAAATATATATACAATCTAAATTAACAAAATATTTTAATAATTTTTATCATTTTCCAAAATATATCTTTTTATTTATTTATTTGATAATTCTTTTCTTTATTGATTCAATATGTGGCATGTGATCCAACATCGAGGTTGCGCTCCCAAACTTTCGAAAAGCAGCATAAGACGTTCTCTACTACCGGCCAACTCAAAGGAACCTCGGTCTCTCGAACGGCTCGTGCAACTTTGCGGTAATGCTTTGTCAATTTCCGTTCAATTGCGTGCACATATTGCACTGGATGCTTCACCGGTGCCAAATCACTGCCCAGAATCATGCTGCGATGGTGGAGGCAGCTGATCATCTTTGCCGTACCGCCAACTCTTGGGACAACTGGAACCGGGAAAAAGCGGGACCCAAAAGTCTCCGGGGTCATCATCTGATTGAGTTCAAGTAGTTCAGCAATGCGGTCGCCCAGCACCTTTGTACCCAAGCCGTCAAGTGGAAAGAGGATCGTCGCGTGGTGAAAATTTCCGCGGCACCACTTCCTCCTGGCATTTTGATGCGCGTCCTTCCAAGCTTTGCGTGCTGTGGCAACACCAAGAGCATTGAAGGGACGAAAGCCGCCATGTGTGCAATGCCCCCAAGCAACAGTTTCTGCATAGTCCAAAGCTTTGCAACCCCAAGCATAAATCTCATCCCACATTGCTCTCGGACAATGTTTCGCCAAAACCAAAGTCGAAGGAGTAGCATCGTCATCATCTGAATGGTCTGCAGCTTCAGCCTGCAAATGAAGCTGCTCTGCTTGAGCATCATCAGTATCGTGGTCAGGTATGTGATCTGCAGCCTGAGCAAAACTTCGAGGGCGACCAGCTGTCTTTCCCCAAACCATCGGATCGTCAGTTTTCTCCAACATTTGTTTGCACCAAGCTGGTGAGGTAGAAGGCCCAAGAGCCTACAGGGAAGGGAGATGCAGCGAGGTTGAGTGAAAATGTGATGAGGCCGAAGAAGTAGTAAAAAATAGCAAAGCGAATTCACCTCGAAACTATTGATTATGCAACATGTTACGCGAGGCTGAGGTCATAAAGCAAACTCTATACTGCACGAGCAAACGTAATTCGGCCAAGGCACTTGCAATTGTTGTTGAAACCAAGTGCACATGTCAGGGCCCCCGGTGATCACGGAGAACATCGTAGCCAGACTGAGGGCTCCCCCATACAATGGGGCCTGAGGATCTCGGACTGCAACGTGCAACAGAGCTGCAGCGATAAATCTCATACGAAAGGAGCCCCTGTCCCAAAAATTGTTGACATTGGTAAGCCGAAGTTGTCGGACATGGCCCAGCAAGGCCGGGGCAGTCAGCACACGTGCCCACGTAGTTCCTTGATATGTCTCCTTGAGCTTCGTGAAGACTGGCTCACAACGCTCATGCCCGTAATTCCTGATGGCTTCTCGCGCCACAACATACACGGCCATAGCTTCCAAGACCTCGTCAGTAGCTGCATCTGAGCACAAAAAGAACCATCGTCCGGCATCTGTGCAGGGTACTCTTGACAGCAAAGTCTGAGGTAATTCCTGCATAGCCTCGTATTTCAAAATGGACGGCATCTGCAACGTCGACTGGGCTTCCACAAAGCGTTCCCAAGCGTTTTGGTAACGAAGTTTTTTCTTGGGAGGCATGACCTTGCAGCACAGCAGCTGTGTGCGTCAATGATTGACAAATTTGATTGGGTTTCGGTTGTCGCGTGACAGTCCGTTCTTCGACATCAAATGCAATTTGTAAGTGCATATCAAACTTTGCAATCAGAGGAACCGAATGTTTTTGCCAAAGCTAGGCATACCTCTTCGGGATACAAAAACTTGAAACAGCGAGTGGACAGGCAGATGGCAATACCATTGGAATGAAAACAAATTTGCCTGAAGCTATTCATATTTGATTTTCTGGCATTAACAACGTACTGAGCCTGTCAACATCTCGAATTTTCTGTGGAGGCTTTCAAGCAGCAATATCAACAACACCATGAGCAATTCCTGTGAAAAGATGTCGTGCAAAATCGTAAAGCCTCAAGTATGCGCGTCGCATATCAATTGGGGCAACCTGTCGTCAAGGCTCAGAGCATGAAGCACGAAAACGGTGCATAGTTATTGTCTCGGATAGCTATTGCACGTCAGCATTGCAGAGAGCTTCAATCAGAGCCTCAACCTACTGGTGTGGTTTGTTTGAAAGAAATTCGAGGCGGATCCAAAAGCAAGTGAGGCTTTCAAGCAAGAACAACAGCAATATATGAGAAATTCCTGTCGAAAGATTTCTTACAAAATCGTAAAGCCTCAAATAGGTGCTCACAAAGCCATCTTGGCAACTTGTAGTCAAGGCTCAAAGCATGAAGCATAAAAACGATTCATGTATCGTTTCGAATAGCTATTTCACTGTAACACTGCTCAGAGCCTGAATCAGAGCCTCATCCCACTGTCGTCGTTTGCTTCAAAGAAATCTGAGGCTGGTCCACAAGTAAGCTGAGGAAGTCAGCCGCCGGAGACGTGTCTGGCGGAGGCGTTGTCACACGAACTTGCATGACCAAGCCTGCAAGAATATCATTCAAAATGTGGTTCGAAAACCAGACCCTTCCTTCTTGAGCTCCAACATTCATCTGTGGCAAAACACGGCAGTACTCATCAGATTCTTCGACGCGTGCTCCATAGATGCCGGCAGCCTCAAACTTGTCACGAAAGGCATAGGTCTGACCGACAAAGACTCCACTCAAATTCCAACCATCCTGGTGGAACTCTGCACTGAAGATCAAAATCTTGTGCCCAGCCGGCGGTGCAGCCTCAAAGGGGTCCAATGTAGCTGGCGAAGTCACTGTAGTGGCATTGGCAAACTGCGTAGTGTCGACAGCATTGCCAAGGGGCTCGGCAATAGACAAATGGACTTTGAAGGCATTTGGGAAAGCGATGTCATTGTCAGTCAGATGGGTCTTGCGGTAAGTAAAGAAGGAATCTAGCAAGTTGAGTGCGTTTTGCAGGTCGCTCGGCCCCCTAACAACGTAGAAGGCGATCCTCCAAGGAATAAAGCCCGCTCCATGCGGGTCATCGTGCCCGGTGATCTGGAGCAAGATCCCAGCTTCGGTCCTCAAAGCTGCCAAGGTTGATGGCATGCTCCAGTCTTCTGTGTGCAACTCCTGAAGGAAATTGTTCATGGAGGCGAGGATTCTGTTGGTCACAGAGGGCTTTGCGTCATGTTTGACTTGAACCTGGAACAGCGGTTCGTCGGGCAAACTCTGCATGATGTCGGATGCCCGCCTCGTGTAAGGCATGATGCTCAACTCTATGGAGTTGTTTGCTGGGAGCTTGGACGAAGTTCCAGCCGCTGGAGCTGCTTTCGGCATCAAGCTCGAGACTCGAGGCATAGATGCAGAAGCGGCTTGGCTCTTGGCTTTCTTCTTTGGGCTGAACAAAGTCTTCTTAGGAGCCATCATGCAAACTTACAAGATGCAACGGTTCACACCAGAAAGGGTCTAGGCTCGGAGCTTTCAAATAATAGCAGCAAAAGTGGCTGGGGCACATGTCCAGATGAGAGCAAAACGATGAAGAGTGAAAATGAAGATATTCTGCTGCAGACGAAGCAGACCCGCAGCTGTGCTAGGTGCTAGGGGCCCGAACGATGACACCAAGACCTGCGGTGCAAGAAATATGGAATACAAAGAGTGAAATGGTACCATAAAATACCCGTGGATATATACATAGATAATCATATACATATATATGTTATTATATATATATATAAACGTATTATATGTATATATATATGATGATGATGATAAATGATAAATGGTAATTCGAATAGGGAAAGTCATGATTCACCAGTGAATCTTGGGGTTTTCCCCTGTTCAGACAACCCGACAGGCCAGATCGTGAAGCCCAACAGTATTCATTTGCAACGAATCAAACACCTGTCAGCATCATGATTGATTGGATCCTCACTATACTTCATGATATTCCATATATGATGTTTGTATCTTCAATATCGTATATCATCAAAAATATCATGGAATGTCATCATCAAAAACCTGTCATCATCATGAATACTTCATTAACGTCCATGATCTTCAATCACATTCCATTCACTTCCAGGCGTTCGGACGTCCAAAGGCGCAGTGCCCAACTCCTGAATGGCTTCCGCCAAGTCCTGCCGCTTCGTTTGGAGGTGAGTGTTTTGGAACCCCAAACATGGGTTATGCATGCTTATCAATAGTTATGAATGGTTAGGGTTGATGGTTATGAATGATGGTTACTGATGGTTATGAATGATGGTATGATGGTTAATAGTGGTTATTCATGGTTATTAGTGCTTATTCATTGCCATTCATAGTCATTCATGCTTCTTAATGGTCATTGGTAGAGATGAATGATGGTTCATTAATGGTCAATTAATGAATGGTTCATTCATACTTCATACAAAAACAACCAGCAGTTGCGGGTTTAAGGTGGTTTGACACGTCATACACGTCTAACGTTTTGAAAAATATGTCGATAATACCTCAGTTTTACCCTGACTACGACACATTTGGTGCACCACTCACATATTTGGGGGTTTTCTACAGTAAAATAGCTTCTCCCAGTTCATCCATTTTCAGATGCATTACAAACCATCCATTTAGGGTATCCCCATATGGAAAACCTTATTGTATCGATTTTTCTTATTGCTTCCGCTTGGTCACTCTCATGGGGCCACCATGGCAGTGCGGCTCTTTCCCTTCCTGTTCCGTGTCGTCGTAGAAGTTCAAGACTCGTCCAGGTGAGCCCGTTCGACTCACACCTTGCTTTCAGCAATATTACAATATATATATATATAGATATGATGATGATAAATGGTAAGAAATGGTAATTCGAATAGGGAAAATCATGATTCACCAGTGAACCTTGGGGTTTTCCCCTGTTCAGACAACCCGACAGGCCAGATCGTGAAGCCCAACAGTATGCATTTGCAACGAATCAAACACCTGTCAGCATCATGATTGATTGGATCCTCACTATACTTCATGATATTCCATATATGATATTTGTATCTTCAATATACATATATCATCAAAAATATCATGGAATGTTATCATCAAAAACGTGTCATCCTCATGAATATTCCATTAACTTCCATGATCTTCAATCACATTTCATTCACTTCCAGGCGTTCGGACCGTCCAAAGGCGCAGTGCCCAACTCCTGAACGGCCTCCGCCAAGTCCTGCCGCTTCGTTTGGAGGTGAGTGTTTTGGAACCCCAAACATGGGTTATTCATGCGTATCAATAGTTATGAATGGTTAGGATTGATGGTTATGAATGATGGTTACTGATGGTTATGAATGATGGTATGATGGTTAATAGTGGTTATTCATGGTTATTAGTGCTTATTCATTGCCATTCATAGTCATTCATGCTTCTTAATGGTCATTGTTAGAGATGAATGATGGTTCATTAATGGTCAATTAATTAATGGTTCAATCATACTTCATACCAAAACAACCAGCAATTGCGGGTTTAAGGTGGTTTGACACGTCATACACGTCTAACGTTTTGAAAAATATGTCGATAATAGCTCAGTTTTACCCTGACCACGACACATTTGGTGCACCACTCACATATTTGGGGGTTTTCTACAGGAAAATAGCTACTACCAGTTCATCCATTTTCAGATGCATTACAAACCAGCCATTTGGGGTATCCCCATATGGAAAACTCTATTTTTATCGATTTTTCCTATTGCTTCTGCTTGGTCACTCTCATGGGGCCACCATGGCAGTGCGGCTCCTTCCCTCCCTGCTCTGTGTCGTCGTAGAAGTTCAAGACTCGTCCAGGTGAGCCCGCCCAACTCACACCTTGCTTCCAGCAATGTTATAACATAAAAATATATATATATAATAATACGATGATGATAAATGGAAATAAATGGTAAGAAATGGTAATTCGAATAGGGAAAGTCATGATTCACCAGTGAATCTTGGGGTCTCCCTGTTCAGACAACCCGACAGGCCAGATCGTGAAGCCCAACAGTATGCATCTGCAACGAATCAAACACGTGTCAGCATCATGATTGATTGGATCCTCACTATACTCCATGATATTCCATATATCATGTTTGTATCTTCAATATACATATATCATCAAAAATATCATGGAATGTCATCATCAAAAACCTATCATCATCATGAATATTCCGCGGACTTCCATGATCTTCAATCACATTTCATTCACTTCCAGGCGTTCGGACCGTCCAAAGGCGCAGTGCCCAACTCCTGAATGGCTTCCGCCAAGTCCTGCCGCTTCGTTTGGAGGTGAGTGTTTTGGAACCCTAAACATGGGTTATTCATGCTTATCAATAGTTATGAATGGTTATGATTCATGGTTATGAATGATGGTTACTGATGGTTATGAATAATGGTATTATGGTTAATAATGGTTATTCATGGTTATTAGTACTTATTCATTGCCATTCATAGTCATTCATGCTTCTCAATGGTTATTGTTAGAGATAAATGATGGTGCAGTAACTTCATACAAACACAACCAGCATTTGCGGGTTTAAGGTGGTTTGACACGTCATACACGTCTAACGTTGTGAAAAATATGTCGATAGTAGCTCAATTTTACCCTGACCACGACACATTTGGTGCACCACTCACATATTTGGGGGTTTTCTACAATAAAATAGCTACTCCCAATTCATCCATTTTCAGATGCATTACAAACCATCCATTTGGGGTATCCCCATATGGAAAACTCTAGTTTTATCGATTTTTCTTATTGCTTCTGCCTGGTCACTCTCATGGGGCCACCATGGCAGTGCGGCTCCTTCCCTCCCTGCTCTGTGTCGTCGTAGAAGTTCAAGACTCGTCCACGTGAGCCCGCCCGACTCACACCTTGCTTCCAGCATGTTTTCTCACTACACATCAATGGGGATCATAGGGATCTGAGCCACCAAGCAACATCCACATGATATGTTTTTAGATATCTTTTTAATGGTTTCTTTTTTGACACAGAAGGGAACCACATCATGTGGCAGGCAGACGACCTCCGGGGAACATTTGTTCACAGCTTATGCTGACAAGTTCGCCGGCAGCACGTCCAGTGCGCAACAAGTGGGTCACAATGTTCCTGTCAACCGCATGCGCTTTGTACCAGCAAAACTTTGGAAAAGGCTTCCACTGGTGTGATAAACCACTTGTTTCTGATGCCCTTGGAAACAGAAAGGAATGAATGAACAAGGAAAAAAAACACTGCACAAACATGCACAAACAGCACGCAATCGCCGGAAGCACCAAGAACACTTGTCTGGGAAAGTCAAAATTGAACCACCTCACAACTCGAAAAAGTGCAGAGTATCTAAAAGCAATCACGCCACGAACATACTGTAGAAGCATGCTGAATCTGAGATCATTGCAAATTTGGAAGAATTCATCAATACATTTTTTCAAGTGGAGTGCAAACCTCTATATTTGGCTATCAAAAGCTGTCGCAGCTAGGCGGTAGCAGCAATTTTTTTTTGCCGTCAAGCAGTTAGCACTTCTCCGTAAACAATATTCTGGGTGTATGTGTCATTGCCATTTATCCCAAAACTCGAAACAGCGAGTGGACAGGCAGATGGCAATACCATTGGAATGAAAACAATTTTGCCTGAAGCTGTCCGTAGTTGATTTTGTGGCATTAACAACGTACGTAGCCTGTCAACATATCGAATTTTCTGTGGAGGCTTTCAAGCAGCAACATTAACAACACCATGAGCAATTCCTGTCAAAAGATTTCGTGCAAAATCGTAAAGCCTCAAGTATGCGCGTCGCATATCGTGCAACTTTGCGGTAATGCTTTGTCAATTTCCGTTCAATTGCGTGCGCATATTGCACCGGATGCTTCAATGGCGCCAAATCACATGGTGGAGGCAGCTGATCATCTTCGCCCCACCGCCAACTCTTGGGAGAATTGGAACTGGGGAAAAGCGGGACACAAAAGTCTCTGGGGTCATCATCTGATTGAGTTCAAGTAGTTCAGTAATGTGGTCGCCCAGTACCTTTGTGCCCAAGCCGTCAAGTGGAAACAGTAGGGTCGCGCGGTGACAATTGGGGCAACCTGTCGTCAAGGCTCAGAGCATGAAGCAGGAAAACGGTGCATAATTATTGTCTCGGATAGCTATTGCACGTCAGCATTGCAGAGAGCTTCAATCAGAGCCTCAACCTACTGGTGTGGTTTGTTTCAAAGAAATCCGAGGCGGATCCAAAAGCAAGTGAGGCTTTCAAGCAAGAACAACAGCAATAAATGAGAAATTCCTGTCGAAAGATTTCTTACAAAATCGTAAAGCCTCAAATAGGTGCTTCGCAAAGCCATCTTGGCAACGTGTAGTTCAGGCTCAAAGCATGAAGCATGTATCGTTTCGAATAGCTATTTCACTTTAACACTGCTCGGAGCCTCAATTAGAGCCTCATCCCACTGTCGTCGTTTGCTTCAAAGAAATCTGAGGCTGGTCCAAAAGTAAAAACCTGTCATCATCATGAATACTCCATTAACTCCCATGTTTTTCAATGACATTCCATTCACTTCCAGGCGTTCGGACCGTCCAAAGGCGCAGTGCCCAACTCCTAAATGGCTTCCGCCAAGTCACATGGTTTTTCATGCGTATCAATAGTTATGAATGGGTATGATTGATGGTTATGAATGATGGTTACTGATGGTTATGAACCATGGTATGATTGTTAATAATGGTTATTCATGGTTATCAGCGCTTATTTATTGCCATTCATAGTCAGTCATGCTTTTTAATGGTCATTGTTAGAGATGAAGGATGGTTCATTAACGGTAATTAATTAATGGTTCATTCATATTTCCTACAAAAACAAGGCTACGGTGCGGTTAGCGACCCGGGGTAATTCATGGATTTTTCATGATGCTTCGTTCACAAAATCATGGTATTTGCAAAGTTTTGTAAACTCGTGATAAAAACATCAAATCGTCCTGCCACTGGGGGCTGCTCTCAAAAGTGCGTTTCGTGTGGAACCTTTCATCGATTTTCACAACGTCTGAAAAAAATAATTGTTTTTATTCTTCTGTTTGCTAGGTTTAGTCACATGTGTCCACCAGTGGGTCAGCACAACTGATTTTTAAACTTACCCTTGCAAGTTGTTCAGCGCGACCCTTCTTTGCAAGCTTTCCCAGTTCCTTCCACAGGGTATGACCTGAGCTATGTCTGTACATGAAGGCTTTGTACCCCACCCCACCTCAGTGACGTGACGCAAGTTGTGCATGTGACGCAAGTTAACATGAACGTTAGCATCCCCACCCCACCCCACCCCAGTGACGTGACGCAAGTTGTGCATGTGACGCAAGTTAACATGAACGTTAGCATCCCCACCCCACCCCACCCCAGTGACGTAACGCAAGTTGTGCAGGTGACGCAAATTAACATGAACGTTAACATCCCCACCCCACCCCACCCCAGTGACGTAACGCAAGTTGTGCATGTGAAGCAAGTTAACATGAACGTTAGCATCCCCACCCCACCCCACCCCCCAGTGACGTGACGCAAGTTGTGCATGTGACGCAAGTTAACATGAACGTTAAACATCCCCACCCCACCCCACCCAGTGACGTGACGCAAGTTGTGCATGTGACGCAAGTTAACATGAACGTTAACATCCCCACCCCACCCCACCCCCAGTGCCGTGACGCAAGTTGTGCATGTGACGCAAGTTAACATGAACGTTAACATCCCCACCCCACCCCAACCCCAGTGACGTGACGCAAGTTGTGCATGTGACGCAAGTTACATGAACGTTAATCCCCACCCCCCCCCCAGTGCCGTGACGCAAGTTGTGCATGTGACGCAAGTTAACATGAACGTTAACATCCCCACCCCCCACCCCAACCCAGTGACGTGACGCAAGTTGTGCATGTGACGCAAGTTTGACATGAACGTTAACATCCCCACCCCCCACCCAACCCCACCCCAGTGACGTGACGCAAGTTGTGCATGTGACGCAAGTTGACATGAACGTTAACATCCCCACCCCACCCCACCCCAACCCATCTCTGGCGAAGCATCTTCATAAGAATAACATAAAATTTGCGTTTCGCCATCGGGTCGTAAATGGCGCCGTTGGCAAAAACAACCAGCATTTGCGGGTGTAAGGTGGTTTGACACGTCATATACGTCTAACGTTTTGAAAAATATGTCGATAGTAGCTCAGTTTCACCCTGACCACGACACATTTGGTGCACTATTTACATATTGTTTTTTTTACAGTAAAATAGCTACTCCTAGTTCATCCATTTTCAGATGTATTACAAACCATCCATTTAGGGTATCCCCATATGGAAAATCTTATTTTTATCGATTCTTCTTCGTGCTTCCGCTACCATGGCAGCGCGGCTCCTTCCCCCCCTGCTCCGTGTCGTCGTAGAAGTTCAAGACTCGTCCACGTAAGCCCGCGCGTCTCACACCTTGCTTCTAGCAATATTATAATATATGTATATATGATGATGATGATGATGATGATGATGATGATGATGATGATGATAAATGGAGATAAATGGTAATTCGAATAAGGAAAGTCATGATTCACCAGTGAATCTTGGGGTTTTCCCTTGTTCAGACAACCCGACAGGCCAGATCGTGAAGCCCAACAGTATGCATCTGCAACGAATCAAACACTTGTCAGCATCATGATTGAGTGGATCCTCACTATACTCCATGATATTCCACATATCATGTTTGTATCGTCAATATACATATATCATCAAAAATATCATGGAATGTCATCATCAAAAAACTATCATCATCATGAATACTCTATTAATTTCCATGATCTTCAATCACATTCCATTCACTTCCAGGCGTTCGGACCGTCCAAAGGCGCAGTGCCCAACTCCTGAACGGCCTCCGCCAAGTCCTGCCGCTTCGTTTGGAGGTGAGTGTTTTGGAACCCCAAACATGGGTTATTCATGCGTATCAATAGTTATGAATGGTTAGGATTAATGGTTATGAATGATGGTTACTGATGGTTATGAATGATGGTATTATGGTTAATAATGGGTATTCATGGTTATTAGTGCTTATTCATTGCCATTCATAGTCAGTCATGCTTTTTAATGGTCATTGTTAGAGATGAATGATGGTTCATTAATAATCAATTAATTAATGGTTCATTCAGACTTCATACAAAAACAATCAGCATTTGCGGGTTTAAGGTGGTTTGACACGTCATACATGTCTATCGTTTTGAAAAATATGTCGATAGTAGCTCAATTTCACAGTGGCCACGACACATCTGGTGCACCACTCACATATTTAGGGGTTTTCTACAGTAAAATAGCTAATGTCAACCCTGGATTAATAAACCCCTAGGCTGTTTAATTGGGAGGGGACCATTTAAGTATCAGATTATGACTATTGGAGGAGTACCCCCTAATTAATAAACCATGGTTTATTAATCCGGGGTTGCCACTACTACCAGTTCATCCATTTTCAGATGCATTACAAACCATCCATTTGGGGTATCTCCAGATGGAAAACTCTATGTTTATCGATTTTTCTTATTGCTTCTGCTTGGTCACTCTCATGGGGCCACCATGGCAGTGCGGCTCCTTCCCTCGCTGCTCCGTGTCGTTGTAGCAGGTTAAGACTCGTCCACGTGAGCCCGCCCGACTCACACCTTGCTTCCAGCATGTTTTCTCACTACACATCATGGGGATCATAGGGATCTGAGCCACCAAGCTACATCCACATGATATGTTTTTAGATATCTTTTTAATGGTTTCTTTTTTGACACAGAAGGGAAGCACATCATGTGGATGTGCGCAACACAATTGAATCAACACTTTTCAGCAAGCAAATGCTTTTTTAAGAACCAGGATCAGGCAGGCAGACGACCCCCGGGGAACATTTGTTCACAGCTTATGCTGACAAGTTCGCCGGCAGCACGTCCAGTGCGCAACAAGTGGGTCACAATGTTCCTGTCAACTGCATGCGCTTTGTGCCAGCAAAATTTTGGAAAAGGTTTCCACTGGTGTGATAAGCCACTTGTTTCTGATGCCCTTGGAAACAGAAAGGAATGAATGAACAAGGAAAAAAACACTGCACAAACATGCACAAACAGCACTCAATCGTCGGAAGCACCAAGAACACTTGCCTGGAAAAGTCAAATTGAACCACGTCACAACTCGAAAAAGTGCAGAGTATCTAAAAGCACTCACGCCATGAACACACTGTAGAAGCATGCTGAATCTGATATCATTCAAAATTTGGAAGAATTCATCAATACATTTTTTCAAGTGGAGTGCAAACCTCTTTATTTGGCTATCAAAAGCTTTCGCAGCGGGGCGGTAGCAGCAATTTTTTTTTGCCGTCAAGCAGTTAGCACTTCTCCGTAAACAATGTTCTGCGTGTATGTGTCATTGCCATCTCGTCCTTGTCCAGGCCCGTCTTGGATCAGCACTTTCAACGATGTAGCGGTTGACACTCGCGACAGCGCCACATAAAGTTGGCCATGTGCAAAAACAGGATTGGGCAGCACTAAGCCGCAGCCTCGATTTCCAACAGTTTCAAACCCCCGCTGCGTCACCCCCCTTTGCGCATCTACTCGTTCGCAAGACATATTCCCGAGGGCAGAGAATGAA